TTCAAAGACCTGTGATGCCATGAGTTAGGGAAAAGAGGAACTACAATCTTACATTAACATAATAGAAATTCTACTGTTTTTCCACATTAGAAAGATGATAATAAGATAATAGTTATAAAGGAATTGTTCTATTGCATCACAATTTTCATGATTTTCTTAGGCATAATTTTGCATGGAATTTGATTTATATTAGATTTGTAGTTACTGTACTTTTGCAATTTATATAGCCAGGACCAATACTGCTTTAATAAGGAAACAGCTTTTTACTGAATAGATGGTCCATCCTTAATGTCTGTGATTGTTTAATTTCCTTGATTTCATTTTCCTTAATGTAATTTTGCTACTTTTTCACATTCAAACACAGAGTATCACATGAAATACTACCCAGAGTCCAAAGAGATACCATGTGAAATTCACTGGATAAAGCAATATGAAATCTAAGAGTGGTGCATGAATTCCCTTTAGAAATTAAAGGAAGGTGAGTTAGTCCTGAAAATGGAGTATAAAACATCAAATGAGACTATGAGGAGTTCTCTGTTCTTTATATCCAAGAATAAAAATAATAAAAGATAAAATCTCTTATTATTTAAAAATTTTCTCAATACCAATGATGAAGACATTTTATCTTGTAACTTTACATGTAGTGCTAGGTACAGATGTTTGAACCTCTACAGTGAATAAATAAAAAAGAATTTTAAGGACATTGTTGATCATCTTCTGGTCTTCCATATTAATTTAGAGTCTCTTATTCATCATTTAGTTATATAGCTGGCTTATACTTGGAACAAGACTTAGGAAATTTCTATTATATTATGTATTTTCCAGGAAATAATTTAATCATTGTGTAACCAAAATAACAGTATGTTAGGTATAGATTTGTAATTAGTGATGTTTAAGTATTTGGATTATTTAAAGAAAAATTATCCTTGGCACTTGTTAAAGAGTGAGTAAAGAAGGCTTTTTCAGAGGAACTATGGAGAAAGGCATAAAGACTAGTGCAATGGGGTTTGTATTGGGGGAGACATTGGGTTTGGATCTGTTGAGACAAGGAAAATGGGAATATGTAGTCAGGTAACAGGGTAAAGATCAGTGAAAGGAATCAAGAAATCTCATGGGAAAGGGGGATTCGGGCTAAACCAACCCAACAGGATTCTAGCTGAAGGTCATACAGTGTGATCCATCATCACTGGGGACAGGAAGGTGGAAGAACCAAGTCAATTATGGAGAGTGATCAGATATCATAGATGGGAGATGCTGACTGGCCAAGTGATTTAACAGGATTCTCTCTAAAATTATACAATGCAGAGATGCACATGGAAAGCCAAAAGTCATCGCTTAAGTGGGAAGGGAGTTCACAAGAATATGAAAAGAGTTTGGTCAATGAGAGAATCTTTGTCAAGTTATAAAACAAATAAAGCCATATAAAATTTGCACTTGAATCAAATGTATGAAATATGATATGTCAAGAGCTTTGTAATGTTTTGAACAACCAATAAAAATAAATAAATAAATAAAATTTGCATTGCCCTTAGAAAAATCTATAAAAAACCAACAAAACAAAACAAATAAAAAACCCTCATGTTAGTCCTATAATCAAAATGGGATTTTCAATAAACATCTGAATATTTTTATATCATTTAATCAAGTACTTTATATCTTATGCATTTCATATTTACCTGTAGAAAATCCAGTTTATCTATTTTATTGGAAAGGTGGTATTTAGAGATAATAATGAAGGTTGACTCAGGCTAGCTTGTTTACTGTCCTGAGCGAGAGGGAAGAATGTTTGTACTCCTTGGAGATTATTTACTGAAGAAGGTGGGGAATTCTACGAAGTTTTTTACAGCTTTATTTTGTACATTTGATTATTTCATATTTGAATATAGACTAAATTACATCAGAGCGTAACACAATAAAATCATGAACCATAATGAATATACAAAGCACCACTTGGTAAATTGCTCTCTTTTCCTGCCGGCTTGTCTTCTGTACCTCCACTAAAATTATTTTTATAAGGCAAAATAAAAAGACTCCACACAAAGTGTTAGTATCACAGCAGACAACATAATCACCAAAACTATTTGATAAGACACTAAAAAGATTCAAAGGGTCAGTACCATGCAGACAAAAGAATTTATTCCCTACTCACATTTACATGTGTGGCTTACTAAGAGCCTGACTCTGGGTAAAATATTGAATTTTCTCATGTGGAAAATAGGCTAATAACATCCATCTTTAAGGACTTTTTTCAGGAATGAAATATTTTATGTAAAACACTCAGTATGAGTACTGATATATAATAGGTACTCTAAAGATCCCAGCTTTTAATGCAAGTGCTTTGCATAATAAGTTTAATGAATAAAGATGTAGATGAGGAATTGAGAAATAAAAAAGAGAAAGGAAAATTTCAGTTTGAAAAGATAGCAAAGTTTCTGTTTCTGAGAATAAAAACTAACTATGGGATTCCTGACAACTCAAACAAAAGGGAGCCAAGATGTATTATAACCATCCTCATTATACAAATGGGGAAACATGCCTGTTTACCAGAAGAAAGATAATGATTTTTGATATCTTATTCTGAAAAACAAATCTCACTCAAGATTTTATATTATGGATATTGAGTTGTGTAATGGGTAGTTTTATTTTGAACACAGAAGAAGTGCTATTGGCAGGGAGGGAAGAATAGAAGTTCATTGGATTAGACAAAGGGGAAGGGAGGAGTGATGGGAATGGGAAAGACAGTAGAATGAATTGGATAGAACTTTCCTATGTTCATATATGAATACACAACCAGTGTATCTCCACATCATGTACAACCACAGAATGGGATCTTAATTAGAATAAGTTATGCTCCATGTACGTATACAATGTCAAAATACATTTTACTGCCATGTAAATCTAAAAAAAAAAAAAAAAGTAGAGCTATTGACCTGTTCTGGTAGGATATGTAAGTCGGAGCTATTTTACCTGGAGAAGCACAGCTGTGAGACTTCCTTACAGGATACTCTTAAATTTATCTGATTATCGGCATCCCCTGAGAATCTTTAGAAAGTAAAATTCCCAGGCCCATCACTGATTCTGATTTTGTAGTGAATGGCCAGGAAACTGCCTTTTTATAATTTTGCCAGTTGGGGCTGAGAGTTAAATAAATGTGGAGCTGAAATTTTCTTAGATTTCATGCCAAGACATTATTTCTATTAGTGAAGCTTTTGTTAAGCATTAACAAGGAGACATAGAATCTGATTTTCTGATAGTTTACATTCTACATTGATGATTTGGGAAACCTTGTTATGTTGTGGGACTCCATGACCACAATCAGTGTTTATTCTCCATTCTGATAGCGGAGCAGCTGGGATCCTATTTCTTCATGGATTTCATCTGCCTATGGCAGTGGACTTCCTCGATAATGTAGGCAAAAACAAGTTTCTTCTCACAAAGGAGCTCTAGACCTGCTTCAAACCATGGACAAATGATTGATTCAGACCTCTAAATTGTACCTCTCAGAATATGGCAGAAATTGTTCTGCTTTAGAAAATAATCAAGGCAGGTGTTGCATGTAAGCTGCCAATCACCATGAAAATAGAAACCTCAGTAATGCCTCTGTGGAGTGTTTGATTCCATACTACAGCTTCTCCTCAGGAGCCTGCCAGGATGAATTAGATGCTACATGTGCTCCTAGTTAACCAAAGGAGTTAGGGGTAATTCAGGTTTTACCATGTGTGACAGAAGCAAGTTGGATAATTTCCTTCTTCTTAATGCTGAAGTATTTTAGGAATTTATAGTTTATTTAAGGAATCAATATAGAAAGTAAAGGTGTTACAGAGTGAGGCTACACAGAGTCTTGTTTTCACAATTGATAGCAGAAAAAAAAGGAAAGACTGTAGAGTTGGTGAATAGAATAAGTTTGACTTTTAATTGGGAAGATTAGGGGCCAATAAATTGTTTGCTTACTTGTATGTGTCAAATATAAATGCACATATCATGTTATATAAATATTGTTTTTTAAAAATAGTGTTTACATACTAGTCTTGTGGCAAAGTTAAATGTTAATTCTTTATTATGGTTTTCTGTACTATTTGACCATCAGAGACTTCCTTGTTTTGTACTTCAAATATCTGAGTTTGAGACCCCAAAATGAAAATCAGTGGAATATTTTGCATTTTATTGACATTCAAGGTCCTTCTAATTAAAGCATCCCCGAGAAGTCAGAGGCTTTGGTTGTCAGTATGCTTAGTTTCTTTTCAGGGTCACATCATTATGTATCTGAAAGGGCATGGTTATTTTGAAAACTTGGTGGAGTGGAAAGAGCATGGACTTCATTTCAGTGTCAGATTGAACTGGATTGAAATCCTTATGCTGACACTTACCAGCCGCATATCATTTCACAAGTTGCTCTGTGTCTAGGTCCTTCATCTCAAACTGGAGGAAAATAACACAGATCTTTGTGATGCTAGTGAATACTAAACAGAGTAAGGTGTGTAAAATGTTTAGACTATGATTAGTGATTAATTCAGTTAGTTCTCTTTCCTCAGGTAATGTTTCCCTTCATGGAAAAATTTCGGTAGCATCTCTAGAGGGAATTTTAATTCAGACAATATTAAAATCTTATTTGGTACTTGTCTAAATTCCTATATAGCTTTCCCCACTTATACCATATATGACTTTCAGAATGATACGTTAGTATTTTAGGCAATTTCTTCTGATTAATCAGCATATAAAAGCATTTTATTAAAACTAACTTGTTACTAACCCAATTTGTTGAACTTATCTGCAGGCTGGATTTCTGCTGCCCTAAATGTTTGGAGTTCCATATCTTATCATCTGTAGAGACATAAATGAAATTTTTTGTCCTTGTCTTTCCCTCATACTTGACCATAGAACCAAGGAACAAGATCATCTCTACCTTACTAGGTCTCTTGAGTGATCAGATGACTGCCTATCTGTAGACAAAATAATGAAAACTCCTAGCCCCATTCAGTGGCATGTGTCTGTACTTCCAGCTACTTGGGAAGCCAAGGCAAGAGGATTGCTTGAGCCCCGGAGTTCCAGGTCAGGCTGGATCAAAGCAGATGGTAAGACCCCATCTCAAAAAGAAAAATGAAAAGAAAAAACTCCTAATGTATGTCTTTAGTCATGATCTTAGAGTTTATATAACATTCATATAAGCATTATAAATATTTATTATGAATATGAAAGCAAAATGGATTATTTAACAGAACAGGAAAAGAAAATATTAAATTTTAAGTTTTAAGCCAGCCTCAGCAATGGTGAAGAGCTAAGTAACTCAGGGAGATCCTGTCTCTAAATAAAATACAAAATAGGGCTGGGGATGTGGCTCAGTGGTCAAGTGTCCCTGAGTTCAATCCCCAGTCGCCCCACCCCCAAAAAAAAAAAAAATGTTCACAAGATGACAGGTGAAGAGGAGACTATTAGATTTTTTTTCAGGAAGTCCAATAGATTGCCAGGTATACTTTGTCATCACCATTATTCTCTCCTGATCACTTGGAGGGTGCTAGGCACTTGGCTTGGGGAGTTATATGGACAGATACTGAATAAAGGAAAAGAAAGAAGCAGGACAGTGTACCTTGTCAAAAATTGGCATTAAATTTGCACAAAATTTAGAAGGTTCAGGAAAAACTTCAGTTTTCATATATCAGATTTTTAATTTTTATGAAGGAAAGCCTGTTTTGGGTGTACATATTAATTTCCTATTCCTGTACAACAAATAACTAAAAATTTGGTCACTTAAAGAAAATACCTATTTATCAGCTCACTTAGGGCTAAAGTCTGGATATGGTGTAACTGGGTTCTTACTCTTCTCACAGGATGAAACCAATGTTGGTTTTCCTGTGGTCTCCTTAGCTCAAGGTCCTTTTCAAAGTTCACTGATTATGAGTAGATTTTCAAGAATAGCCATATATCACTTAGTGATGAGAACATGTGCTGAGAAATGTGGTGTTAGATGATTATGTCATTGTGCAAAATCATACTGTAAGGGACCGGCGAAACGTCGGAGGAAGAGACCACCAAGAGACTGTCTCATGCAACAGCAAAAAGGGTTTATTTGGAGACCAGCATGCTGGGGCTCAGAGCTCACTAGAGCAAAGAGAGATAGAGCACTGGGAATAGCTTAAGCAGAGCTTATGTACTTTTCTTGGAGAGGGCAGGGAGGGACGTTCATTGACGGGTCAGGGCGAGTGGGCAGTTTGCCTGCAACCGAGTGAGGGAGTGCATTCTGCAGTTTGGCAGTTGGGGACAGCACATTCTGGGAACAAGATTAGCAAACAGTTCTCAGGATTTCAACAGTGTTTTGTTAAGCATACAGAAAAACGGAGTGACAAGTACCTATTTTATTAACCTTTCAATACAATGTATAAAATACAAACTATGAAGCCTAGGATGTAAGTAGGTGAAATTATCTTATAGGACCATCATTGATCAAAATGTTCTGATGTGGCATATGACAGTATTTGTGTTTTGTATGATTGAGGTCTCTGTATTCCTGTTGCTGTCAGTCTGGGATCTGACTCAGCTCATAAAGACCATCTAAAATTTCCTCACCACATGGCCCAATAAGAAGTTCATATCATGGATGTTATGGGAGGTATCTCCCAAAAGCTCATGTGTGACACACACAAGAATGTTTAGAAGTTAAACAATTGGGGTATGAGAGTCTTAACATAATCAGTTCCTTAATCCACTTGAATGGATTAACTGGTAGGGTGTAGGCAGGTAGGGTGTGGCTGGAGGAGGCTGGTAACTAGAGACCTGCCTTTGGGTTTATATTTTGTCCCTGGTGAGCAGAGTGCTCTCTTCTTCCTGATTGCCCTGTTCTGAGTTGCTTTCTTCTTCCACACCCTTCTGCCATGGTGTTCTGCTATACCTCTGTCTCATAGCAACAGAATTGGTTGCCTATGGACTGAGATCAAATAAACTTTCCTTCTCTACATTTTTCTGTTGGGTCTTTTGGTCACAGTGGCAAGAAAGCTGGCCTAAACAATGGATGTTTATTTTCATTCTGGCCAGCCTGAGCATATCTCTGATATCTCTTCTGTGACCAGCTGGTAGAAACTCTCTGCTTTTAAAGGGCTCATATGATTAAGCCAGGAATACACAGATAGTCTCCTTAAGGTTGACTGATTCAGAACTGAATTGTATGTCTCAATACCTTCACAGTAGTACTTACATTAGTTTTTGATTCAACAACTGGTAGAAGGTGTGTGTACACCAGGATCTGGGAAATCAGGCCCATCTTAGAATTCTGACCATCACATTGCCTGAATCTAGAGTCAGGTTTCCAGTAGTAACCATTCAAGTTTTCAGATTTCTAGAGAGTATATATGCCTTGAATTATCAAAAATAAAAGTATTAAAAATAATTTTCCTGCTAAGATAGTTAAGGATGTTAAACTAAATTTAATGAAATTGAAAGCTGTTCAAACACTAATTCTGCAGCTTAGAAGGTGACAAAAGCAGTCTCCATAATATTAACTGAAATTCAAGATAGAAAATAAAAGATAACCTCTAACTAGGTGAAATTTCTGAGTAAGCTAAAACACCAACTGTATTTTAAAATACTTTATATATTGATTAATATTCATGGTTTGCTCTTTTATAAATGTTCTCTTTCAAAGTACACTAGGTTTGCTTGAATGAATTGGTGGGTAAGTAATATATATCTCTGGAAATTCATATGCTTCTGCAAATTAAACACAATTTATAGATTTTTAAATAATTTCTTTTTATTTATTATGTAGCATTAAGAAAATTAAACACTTTATTCATAGTACAGTATCCACTGTGTAAATAACTGTTAACTTAAAATCATGAAAGGAAATGCACCAATTGGCCATCTATAGTTTTGTTCAGTAGATACGAACATGAAAGTTTTCTCAAATATTCAAAATTTTAAAATATTTTACTTTAGTAATAGAAAGATTTAAAATTATCTTCTTAAAATATTTTCTTTCAAACAAGTTCTTCTTTCTTTGCCACAGTGTTTTGTTTGGTATTACAGTTAAAATGCATACATATTCAACACATAAAAAATGTATTTTTTTAAAGGTAAGAAACTCCATTTTTCTTTCCTACAAATAGTATTTTTGCCACTGATTAATTTAATGTGTTACAAATGGATGATTATACCAAATTTTCAAACAAGACCACATTCCTATACATTTTATATTTTATAGGGTGCAATGTGCTATTTTGACACATTTACTGAGATTTTCATGTTACCTGTTCCTAATTACAGCTTCCATGTACTAAACTGGAGACCATTATCTTATGTGAAGTAAGTGCAATAGAGAAAGACAACTACTGTGTGGTATCATTTATGTGTGAAATCTAAATAAAAAGATGAACTCCTAGATATAGAGGGTAGAATATGGTTATCAAAAGCTGTAGCTTGGGGAATGAAATCTTGCTTTTAAATCTATCCTCAAAAATATGATATATCTTTGACAATGTTTAATGGCACTTGAGAGGAATGTGTATTCTGCTGCTTTAGACAGAATATTCTGTACATGTCTCTTAGGCATATTTGGTCTAAAGTTAGTTCAAATTCAATATTTGTGTCTAGATGACCTATCCATTATTGAAAATGGGGTATTGACCTCTTCTGCTATTATTTTATTGCAGTCTATCTTTCCCTTCAGGTTTTTAACATTTACTTTTATACTTAGAATCCCTGATATTAGGTGCATGCATATTTACGATGGATATATCCTCTTGATGAATTGATCCCTTTCTTATATAATGATCTTTTTTTGTGTTTTTCATACTTTTTTATTTCCTATTTTACCTAATATAAGTATAAATGACTCACATTCTCTTTTTGTGTGAAATATCTTCTATCCCTTTCCTCCAAGCTACTTGTGTCCTTAAAGGTGGATTGAATCTCTTCAAAGCAGTACATAGATGGGGTCTTAGTTTTTTATCCACTTTGCCATATTCAGTTTTTGGAGAAGGATTTAATGCATTCATATTAAAGGTAGCTATTAATGGGAAAGAACTTACTACTGCTATTTTGTTAATTATTTTCTGGTTGTTTTATAAATCCTTTTTCCTCTCTTGATGCTTTACTTGTTTGTTAGTTTAGTAATTAAATGACTTTCTGAGTGGTGGGTTTTGATTCCTTACTTTTTAATCTTTTGAACATCTACTACAGGTTTATGCTTGTGATTATCATGAAGCTTAAGTGAAATATCTAACAATAATATATTTTAAAATAATGACAACTTAACTTTGATCACATTAAAAACAAAAGCCCTTCTACACTTTTCTACTTTTATGTTTTTGATATCATTTCACCTGTTTATGATGCAAATCCTTTAATAAATTATTGTAGCTTTTATTATCTTTAATAGCTTTTTTGCACTCTTCTCCCTTTTTTATGACTTATATTACAAATATTTTAGTATTCCATTTTTACTTCTCTTTATATGTTAAATATATATTTTGCATTTTTTAATGTTTCTCTGAGGATGACAAAAATGCATTAACTATAATTGGTTTAAAATTAATGTCATACTAGTTCATATTAAATATGTAAACCTTGTAATACTCTAGGTCCATTTCCTTCCTCTGTCATCCTTATTTCTCTTATATATCTGTTTTCATGCACTAGGATTCCACAGTACAGCATTATAATTTTTATTTTAATGATATATATGACTTTCAAGGAAATTAGGAGAAGAATATAATTATTTGTGTGCATGTGTGCAAACATGTGTATGAATATTGTGTGGTTTGTGCACATGTGTGCATGTGTGCTCCATACACATTTATCTACTATCCATCTCCCCTCTTAGGCCACATCTCCAGGGCTCTTCATTCATGTTCTTTGTCATGTCATTTTCTTCAGTGCAACATATTTTCTTCAGCATTTATTTTCATGCAGATCTGTGATAATGAATTATTTATCTGAAAATAAGATAGATGTTATACCAGTAATTTCTAATTTTCATTTTTTCCTGATCTGAAGTTCATGGTCACTTATGAACATTGTCCCTCTGTATGTTTGTATTAGTTCTCTCAGTTTTATTAAAATATGCCTCAGTGTGCTTTTCTCT